AGATAACAATGGCCGCTTTCAACAGGAAAAACAGCTTAGCAAATGTTGTAATTCTTTAATATGATTGATTCTTGTCCTTAGATCCTCACAATTCTAAATGTATAAACCAAAATAGCGAAGATTCTCAAAAGTTGTAAAAGTTTTTTTGTATTAAACGTAATGTGACCACGCACGTAAATTTAAACATCAACATCAGCTGTACAAAATCTTTAGTAATATCATAATAAACGCAATTATGACCTAAACATTTGAAAAATGTAGAAATAACAATACACATTATGAAATAACATCGAGAATATATTTAATAAAATAACCAAACAAGACAAATTATCTCATCATAATGCCGTCATTTTGATGTCAACGTGACATTGATCGAATTTTTCCTACTAGAATTATAATCTAAATATTCATTTCCATATTTTTCTATAATGTTTTCTACAATGTATCGCGCGTAACCTCTAGTATCAATTTTTCGTCATATTGAATTATTTCCTTGACACATTTCCATGACGACAAACAACAGTTTTGACGTCATATTAACGTCATTTTGATTAAGTTGTTTTCACTGGGTGGGCTGAAATAATACGGTGATTTTTAAAAATTAATAACTCATTAATTATTGCGAAACTTGAAAAATGATAAAGAACTTTTCGACTCAGTTTAGTCCGCTCTACGCACGAAATTAATTCCATTAAGTCTGGGACACTCTGTATACAAACACACACACACACACACACACATTTCTTGCAATTTTTCTTCGACTAATCCTCGGTGATCTTATTTCTGGGCAAAAGGCACAAAAATTCAAATTCTTAGTGATATTTGAAAATTACAGATAAATATAACAAGATACAATATAACTCTGTCTTTTCCGATTTTCCTATAATTCCATAAATTTGTGTATTTGCATGCATAGAATAGATTCTGATAAGGAAAATAGCTCGTCTCGTTTTCTTTTTTCAAAGTTTTTTATATTTAAACTTCAATCCATATAAAAAAAATAAAAAAGATATAAATTTTGAATTATAAATTATTCGATCTCTTTTATAATTTAAATTATATAAAAAAATAATTTGTTTTTAATTAATTAATTAAAGCAAGGAATATAATAAATATGCGACCATATATTATCATCAAATCATCATTTTCTAATTTATCAAAAAACTTGAAAAATAAAAAAACACTATCTATAATTTTTTATGCGTGAAAATGAAACCACTGGACGTTTCTCTAGCAATTTCTCTTGTTTCCTTCTTGTATTTCGATTCCTGATCTCTGATTCGTATCTTCTCTGGATGTTCCTCCTGCTCAGCCTTGACTTCAAATTCTCGCTCCGAT